AGGTTTTGTGCTTAATGGAGTTGTGAATTGAATGGAAGTGCAGTCTTTAATCGGGGTGTTGCAATAATTAAGATATTGCACTTAATTGGGGTAAAGCATTTAATGAAGTATCGCATTTAATGGGGGTATTATATGTAATTGGTGTCACGGCTTCAATGGGGCATCGCAGACGTATTTGTGTGGTCCGGACAGATCCGTCACCTGCCACTGCTTTCCTCAGTGCAGTGAGTCCAGCAACGTCTCCCCCAACACGGGGGTAACCAGCCCCACTGCCGCCCGGTCCTAGGGGACCAGGGACACTGGTGCCAGAGCTGCTTCCACTGCATGGAAGCACACCGCTGCACTCCATCCCTTGGCACGTGCAGCTCCCCGCCTCCCTGCCTGGCCCCTGCCAGTGCTCTCCGCTCACTGCGTTGGTGCCCTGACGATGCCCAGAGCTGTGGGCAGGCGAGCAGCAGGGCTGGAGAGCCCTGGTCAGGGCAGGGATGTTCCAGTCCCCACTTTGTGCATAGGCAGCTGCTGCCGGTGGAGGTGCCGGGTGTGCTCCCCTGTGGCTGCTCTCCTGTAATAAGACTGGACACCTTGTCACCTGCATCCCCTCCGGTGCCGCGCAGCGCCCTGGACGCCGAGCCCGGCCTGCCTGTGTGGCGGGAGGCGAGCGGGACACCGGGCACACCGTGGTGGAGGCGAGGGAAGGCACCGCGCTCATTAGACCGTAGCGCGCGCACGAGGCCGAAGCGAGCGCTGTGGCCAGCTGGGCTCCACGGTCATGTTTCCTTCAATTAGATCAAAATTAATGATCAGCACAGAGCCATGTCCCTCCCGGCGTGGGGCCGTGTCCGGCACCGGCTCACGAAGCGTGCGGAGCAGGCGAGGGAAGGGACGGCAGCAGAGCTGCTGGCTCGCTGTCCATGCCTTTGGTTGGTGGCAGAAGTGCCCACAAAACTTGGAGTAAGAGCGAGCAAGGCGGTGATTGGGGTTCGCACCGCAGTGAGGACTGCTAGCCAGGTGCCAGCAACCAACACGTGGCTCCCACGCGGTGCAGCAGTGTGGGAGGTGAGCAGGGCTCAGCACAGGACCGGGGCGAGCCATAGAGAACGGGAGGGCCTGGGGCAGGCAGCTGGCCCCAAGCAGGGACAGCCAGTGTGCTGCATGTGGTGCATGGCCAGCTGCCGCTGTGCCTGCTCCCTGCACCTCCTCTGGCACTCACACACACTGCCCGAAGCGGCCGTGCTGACCCTGGGTGGCACTGGCCGGGTGCTTCCCAGTGGGATGCACAGCCCCAGGCAGGCTCCCAGGACCACCTCCTAGCTGAACGCAGGCAGCAGCCCCCAGGCCCACACCGCAGCCGGGGCCGTGGGCTGGCAACACAAGTGACTCCTCCATCGGCGCCCCTGTCCCGGGCAGGTGGGGAGGGGACAGGCTGGGGCCCCCCAGGGGCCTCTCTTCATTCACAACTCTGCATAATCTGCCTGAATAATTTAGGCTGGCCTGGTTAAACAGTTCACGCTGATGCCGGCTGCACTGCACAGTCCCCAGGGCCTGGTGTGCCTGGGGCCACCTAAACCCTGCTGTGTTTTGCAGTGCATCGGGACCCTCAGCACTAGAAAGGCCCCTGATTTCTCATCCAAATGTCCTTCTGCAGTGGCAGCATTTACCTTGTCTAAGGACACAGCCTTTGAGGCTCCTCAGCGCTTGCCCAAAACCCCAGATCCCTCAGCTGGTCTCTGTAGCTTTCTCTATTCTTGTGCTTGTGTGCACTCTTTCCAATTCTTTTTCCTACAGTCCTGAGCAACATCCTCCTTCGTGCAGAGCCTGCTGCACTTGCAGGGCAGCCAGACATGCAATATTACACTGGCAAATTCCCTATTCCGAATAAACAGGATTTCTCCTAGCTGCTTTTCCAAGCAGCCGCCTAGCCGCTGGGCATGTGGAAGCAGAGCCACCCGACCCACATCTGCACCGTGCAGGACCTGCACGGCACGTCCTGCCCGCAGGGTTCAATCACCGTGCGCCCCGGGCACCTGCCCGCTCCTGGCCTGGCTGTGGTGCTCCAGTCCGTGTTGCGGGGCTCCGCAGCCCCGCTCTGCCGCCCGCCTCCGGCCCTCTGCCCCTCCACGTGCTGGGCAGCCTGCGCTCCCGCCTCAGCCTCGATCTTTGCGCTTGTCCTTTCCGATCGCGTCTCGCTCCTTGCAGACCATTTCTCCGATTTGTCAACATCGTCCTGAATTCCGGCGCTCTCTTCCCCGGCGCTCGCGGCCTCCCCCTGTCATCTGCGAGTGCAACACGCGGCCCTGTGTGCCATGCCCCCAGCTGCTCTGTCTCCCAAACCGCCCGGCTCTCCCGTCCGCTCGCTCACGCGGTGGCGAGTGAGCTCAGCACGGCTCAACTGGAGGCTTTGGGTTTCTCTGGCTGTTGGCACTGAAATCCGCAGAGCCAGGGTGTGCTGTGCCCGGCCGGGCAGAGATGCAGATCGGCCCTGCTGCGTTGGGCAGTTCCTACACGTGCTGCTTGGCCGCAGGTGTGCGGTTTCAGCGCAGGACTGCCCGAGACGGAGACGTGCTGGCTGCTCCCAGCTGGAGCTTTGCTCACTGCCTTGCCTGTCCCAGGAGAAAGCAGTCCCTGAGCTTTGCCCTGCGCCCTGGGCTCAGGTTCCCCTACCAGGTGTCCCCATTTGGGGCGCAGGCCCACGCCGGCTGTGCAGACACAGGGTGCAGGGGGGCTGTGGGCCAGCGCACTGTGCGGGGCCACTCCAAGTTTGCTGCTTGCAGCCATTGGGGCATCCCGACCTGTGTGCCAGCTCCGTGTGCTGCTCACACCGCAGTCCCCTCACCCTGCCCATGTGCAGGGCACCGTCTGCAGCCACAGCCAGCCATGGGGCTTGTGCCCAGGGCACCTTTGCTTGGGCAGGGCTTGATCCTAGCCGGTCTGACTGTGCTTCAGCTCTGCTCTGGCTGCAAGGGCACAAGCCCCCATCCCTGGCTGTTGTTGCATGCAGACAGTGGGTTTGATGGCAGGGCAGGGTCAGGTCAAAATGGACAAGGAGAGGAGGAAGGAGAGGGTTGTCTTTGGCTGCAGAGCACCGATCCATAGTGCGGGAAGGATGCTGGTGAGTGGGTCCTGCTAAGGGGACAGTTGCAAATGGGGCAAAAGACAGAGAGGACATTTAGAGAGCGCAGGGGCCTGCAGTCCGTGCTCCCTGCAGCATTGCCAGGTCACACGGTGCAGGGAACTGGAGGTGGCCCTGCAGCTAAGCCAGACAGATTCAGGAGAAGTGGCTCCCCATGCAGCACTGCTCACATCTGCCTGCTCTGGGAAGAGCGGGAAGAAGAGTTTGCACTTCTTCCCCATGCAGCACTGCCCATGTGGGCGCCAGGACAGGGTGGCAGGTCCCAAACACCTCTACCTGCTGCAGGTTTTGGGGGACCAGGCTGCAATGTCCTACATCTGCCTCGCCATGTACATGCGGTGACAGTGCTCAGGCTGCCTGCCCATGCTGTGCACCCCGGTGAGCGGCCGGGCTGCTGATGTGGGTGGCACGTGTCCTCGCCGTCCCCCGGGGCAGGGTGCAGCGCGCGGCTGGGGCCGCGTGTGCTCCCAGCCGGAGGCAGCCTATCATGCTGTATTGACCCGCGGGGAGGCAGGAACATGTGTGCCATGCACGGATCGATGGGAAGATTGAAGACGTGTGTGTGCTTGCTGGACGACTGGGGAAAGCTTTGCCGTTGGCATCGGCAGCGCAGTGAAGGTCACGCTGACCTGCGGCGCAGTCCCTGGGGGAGACGAGATGTCTGCTGAGCTCACTGGGGGTGGCGTCTCACGGCTTGTCCTCCCGGGACCCCTCCTGGCACACGACACGTCTCCGTGGGGCTGCGTGGTGCTGGGCTCATCCTGGGCAGGGAGCTGGCGCTTCCATCCATGGCCACGCTGCTGGGCAGGGGCGGAAAGGGCTGCTTGACTTGCAGGTCCGGGCCTCCACTCAGCCCTCCCAACAGAGCTGAGCCCTCCACTGCCAGCTGGGGAAACTGAGGCAGGGAGCAGGAGAGAGCCTGACTTGCTGTGCATGGGGAGCAGAGGAATCTGGTGCTAGCACACAGCATGGCTCTGCCGGAGCTGCTGCAGGGTGATCCTGCAGCCACATCTGGCTACCAAGCCTGCTGAAGGGGCTGCAGAGCCCCTTGGTGCAAGAGAGGGCTGTGCTGCCACAGGGCCAAGCTGTGCCCGAGGGCAACACAAGTGTGCCATGGATCCTGGCCAAGGGGCAGGGGCTGCCTGCGATGAACCCTGCTGCTCACGGGCCGGCTGGGGAGAAAAGTCTGCAAAGAGGCACAGAGCCCAGTGCCTGGTGCAGACTAGGGGGGCAGAGGGGAAGTGCCCAGCACGTCCCACGGGGAGAGGGGAGGAGAACTGGGAGTGCCGGTGGGGGCAGCCGAGGCGCTGGGGGTCCCCACAGCAGCAGCGGCAGCGGCTGCTGCCCGGGGGCTGCTGCCCGGGGCCGCTCCGGGCGCTGCTGCCACGGCCGCTGGCCGGCGGGCCCCGCGGGGCGGCGGGGCTCGGCGCCTCCCGACTTGGGGAGCAGCGGGCCGTGGCAGGGAGGCGGTTAACGGCCAGGGAGCCGCCGAGGCAGGAGGAGTCCGCGGGCGGGCGAGCAGGAGGGGGCCGC